TTCCAAACTTTGCCAGAGAGTCTGCTAGTTCATTTCCAGGAATTCCAATGTGAGCTGGAAACCATTGACATAAAAATACTTTCACTTAAGAAGGCTAGGGATTCATTACAGCAATTGGCGAGATTTCAAGTTAGTAAGATCTTCTAAAAGGCCCTTCCATTGGTCATCTTCTTCTCTCTTTATCCCCTTAAGCTACATCTTCATTATAAATCTGCTCAAAGAATCTGCAGAACATACTGCTGCAGTCCAACATTTCTAACATGGAGAACAGACAACTTGGCTGCAGACCCTAACATTTGCATTTGGTTGTTAGTGCTTACTTTTAATAGCAGCACATAAATTTCCATTCACTCAGTGCAGCTATGTTTAGTCCACACCATGTTGTTGACAGCTAAGCTTGTTGGTCTAGGGCTTGTGCTCATTGATATCCATAGCTAATCATCTTCCTATCTGATGGGCCTATCCTGGTAGGATTCAGCCGCAGCAGGCCTTCTTTCTTATTTCAACTCAATCATATTAAGCTTGTAGGGTATCAAGCTTGTGGAGCTTGAGACTTTTGATGGTGTCTGCTGGGGATGAGGTAAAGCTCATCAATGGATGAGTCAATACAGTCAATGATGTTTTTTTTATCCTAGTACACATGGTACATGATGATAATCATGGTGGGTAGAAGTTGGCGATTGCTTTTACTGTAAGTGCACCACATGTCTATACTGTGAAAAGCAGAGTCAATGATGTAGTCTGGGATTGCAGGTTGAGATGGTCCAAAGTTTATAAAACTGATTTGTAGATTATAAACACAAGGTAATAAGACCAAATCCAAATTATGCCTTATCAACATAATTCTATCACCCTCTATTGTTAAAAATTAAGACAAATTTTATATGCTTCTTTTTTTTTAATTACTATTATCCCCTTGTATAATTATACAAGGGTCGTGGACACTAAATTCATAGATCAAATTCACAATCTTGGTAGGGTTGGAATACAGGTTTTATCTTGAGGCTCCCATGCACTCAAAGAGGTGGTCTGGTTTGGTACCCAGATGGTGCATTATTTTATATGTTGGTTTTTTGCTAATACACCTATCCCCCGATTTACATGGTAGATAGGTTCCTGAGAAAAACGTTGTAAATCGGAAATTAAAAATTTTCAAGTCAAAACCGTGTAAATCGAAAAGCTTGCAGAAATGCATAATTTTGCTATTTAACAGTTGTGATTTTTTTCAATATTTTTAGGTGTACACAGAAATAAAAATAAAATGCATTGACAGGTTAAAATATGTAATATATTACGGAAACACTGTTTTTTGAAATAATTACAATACATACATAAACAGAAGAACAAAAAATAAAACCAAAGGTGTTTTATTATCCTTCATCACTGTCAGAAATTACTCTCATTCTTTTTTTCGGAATCGAAGGTTCGAATTCACTTTCATCACTCGAAGTTATTTGTGCCGATTCGATGTTTGAAGCAGAAATAATCACATAATGAGAGATCGTAATAAAATCGGTTATTAACAAATGCTTCGAATTTTTTGTAAGATCTTTGTAAACTTCTTCATATTGAGCCAAGCAGCGATTTATGTCACGTTGGAATCGTAAAGCCCTTTCAACGTTTGTGTCATTTTGCATAAAATGATTACCCAACTTTCTTCCCAATCCGAGTCCTTCGCGGATGACTTTAGCAGTGAATGTTACTGGTACTAATTCCTCTTCATCAGATTTGTCAGACTCACTTACGCAAACTAAGTTAACTAAATCATCCTCACTTATAGTTCTTTATCAGCCATTAACTCTGCGATATGCATTATGCGATCTTTTGCTGCTTTATGACCACTAGCCGATTTATAAAATTTTGAGACATAAGTCCTTTCAGGCCTTTTTATCCAGAATAACCCTGACTCATCAGCATTGAAAACCTGATTATAGGTGTATGAATTGTCATTAATAATTTCTGCAAAATTTGCTGGATATTCTTGGCTGCATCTACGTCGCCAGAAGCCAGTTCACCTTTTAATTTTAAGCTGTGTAAAGAATGTCTTATTTTAAATCTTTCAAACCAGCCATGACTTGCCAAAAAATTTGGCTTCTTTTCAGTTGAAGAAGAAGATGGCAATTGCTCTACAAATTTTTCGTAATGCGTTATTTGTTATAGCGCCCGTATCAATGGGTACTCTTTTTTGTGTTTGATCTTCTATCCAAAGCATTAACGCTTGCTCCATTTTTTCCATTGCGATATTTCTGGTGTATGATGTTGTGCCCATACTCGTTGTATTGCCAGCTGCAACACTCTTTCTAATTGTGTTTTCATTTGTTCTAATAGTTCTTATTGTAGCTTCGTTCATGTTATATGATTTTGCAACATATACTACTCGTAAGCGATCCAAAATTTCGATTTTAGTTTCTAAAGAAATAACTTTTCTTTTAACTTCTTTCTTCATTATAAGCCTATAATTTTTTTTTTATTTATGTTAATTTGGCTGTGATTAAATTAAAATTCAGAGGGAAAAAATGCGGGAAATTTTGGAGGAAAGATTAAAAACTTTTATTATTTTTTTAAATATTTTATATTATAATTTTTATTCAAATTAAAATGTTTTAATTTTTTATTTTAATTAAACCTATTTGGTAAATTGCCATCATTTCCCTCCAAAATTTCCCGCATTTTTTCCCTCTGAATTTTACTTTAATCATAGCCGTTAATTTATAATAATCTAAATTATGCACTCACTTGTAATTTACGAATATGGAAAATTAAATCTTTCTGAAACTGTGAAACTTTCACTAAAATACAATTTTCCGTAGATAAAACTTTAATTTTATGCGAAGAAATACAGACACAGTGTGCGTGTGCAGCAAGTCAGCACATAAGCTCGGGATTCCTCGTGAGATGTGTACACAGCGCATGTGTTCAATCACAGTAGCATTTAGTATAGTGCAATAAAAACAAAAAAAAACTTATTTGGAAACCGTGAAAAAGCGAAACCGTGTAAAACAAGTACCGTGTAAATCAGGGGATAGGTGTACTTGAAAATTATATTTTAAAATGTATTTCAATATGAGTTTATTGTGATGGTATCCCTAGTGAAAATATATGGAGCTGTTATTTTATCCAACTTGTCCTTTGACCACCATGCTCTCTACATTGGGATTACTTGACCTGACATCATATTAAGCTTGTAGGGTATCAAGCTTGTAGAGCTTGTTGATGGTGTCTGCTGGGGATGAGTAAAGCACATCAATGGATGAGCCAATACAGTCAATGATGTTTTTATTGGTGTCTGCTGGGGATGAGTAAAGCTCATCAATGGATGAGCCAATACAGTCAATGATGTTTTATTTTATTCCTAGTTCACATTTATTTATTTATTTATTTAACAGTTGGGAGAGACACGCCATATCCACAATTTGGATAATTGCGTGTATATTTTAAATTATCAAAAATAAAGAAGGCATCTCCTGACCACGAGCACATGTGCTTTTTAGATGGCGCTCTGCCATCTAAAAAGCGCATGTGCTCGTGGTCAGGAGATGCCTTCTTTATTTTTGATATCAACACCTGACCCACTTATCTTTTATTTTTTCTATTGTTTTTCATTTTATATTATATACAATTAATACAATTGAACATTGGGAATCATGAAAATTAAACGTTCGATGTCAAATTTTACATATAGTAATTATAAGTAGTAGCTTGAAATATGTATAGTCAACACTTTCGCCTCAAAATATACATCCTGCAGAATCTATTAAACTTGATGTACCTAGTACACATGGTACAGGCCATGATAATCATGGTGGGTAGAAGTTGGCGACTGCTTTTACTGTAAGTGCACCACATGTCTATACGTGTGAAAAGAGAGTCAATGATGTGGTCCTACTTTAGGTTCTAAATTCTCCAAGTAAATCTGACTACTAATGAAAGGTAGATCTTTCACACTCTCCAAGTTATGTTTATTTAATATTTGGATTTAAGAAAATGATCACCTTTGCCAATTCCAAGCCCGGATGAAAAAGGAGGAGGGGGAGCAGTAACAAGCTCACTAAAAAAACCTGGGCTCAGCTGGCCTGGCTGATAGTAACCTGTAAGGGCTCCTGATCCAGGGATACAAGATGAACAGCGCTTGTACTCCATGCTAGGAGCAGCTGCATATGGTATATGTTCCTCATGTCAGAGGCAGCCATTTCATATTGGAGCTAAGTCGGCCTGCTACTGAGTAGTGCTCCCAGTCTTAATGACAAAGGCAGAGGCATTCTACTTCCAAACAATCATTATGGTTGTCAAGTTTCTTTTGACAAGCTCTACTCATCTCCAGCAGGCACCATCAAAATTCTCAAGCTCTACAGGCTTGATACCCTGCTATGATTGAGTGGAGATAAGAAGGAGGATCACCTCTAGTACAGTAAAATCTGTGTTAAGCAACCAGGCCTAAACCTATTGTATACAGTTAAAGCCCAATATTTACTACATGAACCTATCTTAATGGGGTAACTAACCTTTGTTTCTCTTCCTTGTACTCTACATATAAACAGTAGAACCTCCCTGACATCATCAAACTACACTAACATGATTAGAACAGGCCATCTCAAGCCATTGAAGATAGAAAATTATAACAAAATCTATCCCACTTGTCCAAATGGAAGCTTGGCACCGTCAGCTCCAGAACACATTTTGGTTTGCATTAGATGCACTAAACAGGGCCTGCTTATCATAAAATAATTTGAGGAGCATGAACTCATGGAATTCATGTAATCTTTACACAAGGGGATAAGAAACAACAACAGAACCTCTCTGTGAAGGACACCAAGTTACAGAGCCAAAGTATCTTTTAGAGAGAGATGTCTTCTAACAGGAGAGCAACTAATTACTAAAAATGGTATTTTTGTTGAATAAAATTATTAAAATATACAAGTATCAGAGTCATCAATCAACAATTCTGTCACCGTTTGCTTTTGTGAATGGAATAAATACCCAAATATGGCCATTTTTTATAAGCATCGGTGGTTCAGTTGTAGAATGCTCGCCTGCCACGGGGGGCGCCCCTGGTTCGATTCCCGGCCGATGCATTTTTTTTTTTTTTTTTTTACAATTTTTAAAACTCATTTATATTATTAAAATATATGTGCTTTTCCTGTCTATGTACTGATTTATGGTCTATGTACATGTCATAATTTGTACATAACTGGATGTAATCCCACCACAATATGTATGCAATGTATGATCTAAAGATTTTAATAAAAACAAGGCTTAGAAATCTGGGAGAAAGGTTTAGAGAGAAAGGCCATCAAAGAGGAACGATCATTAGCAGGTTTTATTATCCAGGAACTCCTAAAACTGGGTTCAAGAACCTAGTCCTTCCGGGATCATGTCAGAACAAGACATGAACAAAGGATTAGCAAAGATCCAATCAGAGAAAAGGAGGATTAGCTAGGAACCAATGGAAAGCTTACACGAGTCTACCATCAGCCAATCAAAGCCATGAGAAGTTTTCGTGTTAAATCGCGAACTCAGTTTAGTTAGTCAGGAGCTCGCCGCCATTGAGACGAGTCAGGAGCTCGCCACCATCGAGACCAGTTCGGAGCCACCATCTTCTCAACGATCAGATAAGTCCAATCCTCAATAATGTGAACAGCCATAGATATTAGTCAAATCCGCAAATAGCTTCAACCCCTTTCTCCCTTGATCACTGGCCTATTTCAATTCAATTCGGTGTCCCTCGTTTTTTCCCCTGTATGAATACCTTATCAACTCAGCAAACACGACTGCGCCCACCACAATTCAATCAATCAATCAACAACTCAACCCATCTCAAAAAGGTAATCTTCCAAACCTTACAGACACAAGTATACAAGTATGTATACAAGTTATTTGCAAATTGCGTTGCAAATTTGCCCTTTTGCTCGCAAGCAGCGCCTCTAGCGGTGAAGATGGGAGGTAATATCAGCTGACCTAATGGGCATGTAAAACGTGTTTTAACAGGACAGAGAGAAAAATCTGGAAGAGATATTTTTCGGATTTTTAGTCAAGAAAAATAAATTGACAGGTTCTGGGAAAAAATAGTTGTTTTTTTTTATTCAGAAAATGATGATGACAATATTGCTGTATCATATTTGATTATCAGATACAAAATTATATCCAGAAAAATTCCAAAAAGCAGAGACCACGGGTGAAGCCAGTTCATTTTTAGTATGCAGGAACAAAATTCTAACAGAAAAACATTCATTCGAGCAGAAGACACAAAGCCAGATCATCTCTTTATTAAAATATCGCTTCTCAGACACAAGGTTTGGAGCGGGACGTTTCACAAGAATGACATCCACGGCGCCAATTTATAATTGTAACGAATAGTATTTGAATAAAAGCTTTTAATCGGGGCGTTGCCTGGGTCATTCGGCTAGTTCTTATAGAAAGGTGTCCCCTCATGGTTCTTAATATCCCGGATTTGTATTAGCGCAGGGTTATATCTCAATTCACTACAAGTTTCAACAATATCCTTTACCATCAGGAAAAATATTATGGTATGATACAATCCCAGAGAATTTAGGAAAATATGTTTCAGCTAATCCAGGGAACCATTCATTCCGGATTTAAGGCAAGTATCAAACAAATGACAACAAGATGTATTTGGACAAACATGAAAGAGATTGTTTAAGAATAGGCTCATACATGTATGGATTGACAGGTGATCAAGATAACTAGGAATGAAAATTCTTAAATAGGCAGTTTTTGAAGACCGCAGATAGATTTAGTGTCATACACATTGTTTGTATCGGCCCCCTACCAAAGTCAAATGATCACATTTACTGCTCAACATGCATTGAAGCTCTACAGGTTGGCCAATAGCTTTTCTATTGAGAGATATCAAAGCAGAAACTCTCGCAAAATAATTTTACGAGAACTAGATTGAACGTTTTGGGATGTCTACCACTGGCATTACTGATTGTCATTGTGTGGAACAATATATTCAACAGTTTTAAAATAACTGTGAACCATTTGTGTAATTATTATCCAGCACACTACTTCATACCATCCTCAAAGTAATGGGAAAATAGAAAGATTTGACTGGCATTGAAACCTGTGAATAGAGCCCACAACACTTTGAGATAGACAAACGTTACCAACAATCTTTTTGGAATTCCGTGCAGCTAGAAGAGAATATGTAGCGATTTCTACAGCTGAAATGGTTTATGGTACAAACATCAGATTCCCTGGCTGATTCTTTGATTAATCAAAACAATAATAGTGTCAAAATTGGAGAAAATAGAATTTGAATGATATTAAAGGCAAATATTTAATGTATATATTGTTTAAATATTTGCCTTTAATATCATTCAACTGCTATGTTCTCCAATTTTTGACACGAGTGCTGAGACGCAAATAATTAATGATTAAAACTTTACAGATATAAAACTAGAGGTCAATACTTAACTGGAACAAGGCCTCGACACGCACCATTTATAAATTTCAATTTGGAGGAAGTTTGTGGCACAATAGTAAAAAAAAAAAAATCAGAAAATTTCAAACATTATTTTTATTCAGTCTAGTGATAATATGCACTTGGATCGTCAGGGCAGGCCTCTTGGAATTGAGAATAGGGACTTGGATCGTCAGGGCAGATCTCTTCAAATTGGGTCTTGGATCGTCACGGCAGGGCTCTTGGAATTGAGAATAGGGACTTGGATCGTCAGGGCAGGCCTCTTGGAATTGAGAATAGGGACTTGGATCGTCACGGCAGGGCTCTTGGAATTGAGAATAGGGACTTGGATCGTCAGGGCAGGCCTCTTGGAATTGAAAATAGGGACTTGGATCGTCAGGGCAGGCCTCTTGGAGTTGAAAATTAGAATGATATCCACAAGAGGCAGGGTTATAATATTTGAGAATAGGGGTCCACAGAGAGAGAGCATCCGAGCTTGTGTCCTTGTTTTCAGGCGAGGATCCCGGTCCAGGCTATAGGTCCGCTTCTCCCTAGGCACACCTCAAAGGCCAGCTCATCGCCATTCTTATATAGTTCGAGTTAAAATATAATTCTATAAACTATATATAAGCGACCATTTTTTTATGGTTAAACGAACGTGCGAGAACGCGCAAACGTACAGTATAAACAGTATGAACTAACTAACGAGAACGAATGGGCAAGAACGCCCCAATGTGTCTCAGAATGATCGAACAAACTAGGCGACTAAATTGACAAGAAGATGCCACACACAAATCTCTCAATTCGAACAGTTCTAACAACCTTGAATTCCCGCACGAACTAGCCGGAAGGTCAGGCTAGAACGAACAACCAGTCTAGTACAATGGTAAGCCCAAGCACGCCTGGACGCCCCAGCTGAACGAACAACGCTAGAACAAACGCGCGAACTAGGTTAGAACAAACACCCCAGAGCATTGAACGCACTAGAACGCACAGTACGCACTAGACCGCACGACGCCTCCTAGACGAGCGATACGACCTAATACGCATGTACGCGATAGATACGAACAACACCCCAGAACACCTGAACCAACACTAGGACAGGGCGAACGAACTAACGGGAACGAACAGACAAGTACGCCAAACGTCAAGGACAGACGAATGGACTAGGAGTGATTGAACGAACTAGGAGACCAGACGGACTAGAACGAACGAGTCCCAGGAATACACGACCAACTGTTCTAGCAAACCTTGAATGCTTGCACGAACTAGCCGAACGGTCAGGCTAGAATGAACAACCAATCTAGTTACAATGGTAAGCCCAAGCACGCCTGAACGCCCCCAGCTGAACGAACAACGCTAGAACGAACGCGCGAACTAGGTCAGAACAGACACCCCAGAGCATTGAACGCACTAGAACGCACAGTACGCACTAGACCGCACGACGCCTCCTGGACGAGCGATACGACCTAATACGCATGTACGCGATAGATACGAACAACACCCCAGAACACCTGAACCAACACTAGGACAGGGGCGAACGAACTAACGGGAACGAACAGACAAGCACGCCAAACGTCAAGGACAAACGAAAGGACTAAATTGATTGAACGAACTAGTAGACAGAACGAGCCAGAACGAACAAGGCCCTGGAATAGCCAACCAAACTGGTCTGACAAACCTTGAATTCTCACACGACCTAGTCAAACAGCCAGGCTAGAGCGAACAACCAATCTAGTACAATGGTAAGCCCAAGCACGCCTGGACGCCCCAGCTGAACGAACAACGCTAGAACGAACGCGCGAACTAGGTCAGAACAAATACCCCAGAGCATTGCACGCACTAGAACGCACAGTACGCACTAGACCGCACGACGCCTCCTGGACGAGCGATACGACCTAATACGCATGTACGCGATAGATACGAACAACACCCCAGAACACCTGAACCAACACTAGGACAGGGCGAACGGACTAACGGGAACGAACAGACAAGAACGCCAAACGTCAAGGACAAACGAAAGGACTAAACTGATCGAACGAACTAGGAGACCGCAGTGACTAGAGCGAATGAGGCCCTGGAATACCCAACCAAACTAGACTAAAAACCTTGAATTCCCGCACGAACTAGCCAAAAGGTCAGGCTAGAACGAACAACCAGTCTAGAACACTGGTAAGCCCAAGCACGCCTGGACGCTCCAGCTGAACGAACAACGCTAGAACGAACGCGCGAACTAGGTCAGAACAAACACCCCAAAGCATTGCACGCACTAGAACGCACAGTACGCACTAGACCGCACGACGCCTCCTGGACGAGCGATACGACCTAATACGCATGTACGCGATAGATACGAACAACACCCCAGAACACCTGAACCAACACTAGGACAGGGCGAACGAACTAACGGGAACGAACAGACAAGAACGCCAAACGTCAAGGACAGACGAATGGACTAGGAGTGATTGAACGAACTAGGAGACCAGACGGACCAGAACGAGCAGGTCCCCAGAAAATATGACCAAGATTGTTGATCATATGATTGGATGCGATTGATAAACCTGAAAAAAAGTTCGAAATAGGAAGACGGACTGGTTAGGGAAACCATCAAATAAATGTGCTAAATGTCCAGAAGATATCGATATGGAAGGAGGA